TCACACATATTTTGAAAGTATTTATAAAAAGATTCTAAGTGTCTAAATATGGCAAGGCCTGTAATAGATTTTGACAGGACATCAAAATTAGTATCAGAAGGAGAAAACTGCACCTCAATCTCATGCCCCAATAGTACACAGAGACCTTAAGAGTCCCTTTCCTTTCCTCCCTCTCCCCGCTTCTGCCCACAGCCAAGTAATCGTCAAGCCTCATTCTTATCTTCCAACCCACTGCTCTGCCAATCAATTCAACTGTGGAAGAGTAAAAGCTGGAAAGTGTCAGAACCAACTGTGTACTAAATGCATAAAAAGAGAGGGCCTATAGATTCACTTCTGTGACTGTAATTTACCTTCTGTGGTATAAGCTTTATGCTGGAGGAGAATAACTACAAGGTAAATAAGTCATCTATAAATTCTCCCTTTCCTATCTACCCATATTTCTTTAACCAAGGCTTCCTGATTCTCACTTGCAACTAATCCTTCTGTTTTCAATCTTAACTATAGTTATGTCAATTCAAGAAATACTCTTACAGATGGACAGATGTAACAGTCCTCTAACTTGTCCTTCTGTCCCTTTCACGAATTCATCCTGCAACAATGCCAGATGAATCTTCCTAAACCACTTCATCCTTTGTGCAAAAACTGAAAGGATACAAAAGAAACTTTTAAACAGTTTTGAGGAAGGTATAAGTAGGAATATGGAAAGAAAAAAGGGAATCATAGGTTTTGCTTTTAATACAAGTATACTATTTGAATCTTTCATAGGAATGTATTAACTACCTAAATGCTTTTTAAAAAAATTACACCTGACATTTTTTCCTTTCCATAAGCAAAATTCTACTGACTACTATAACTTAAATTAAAAACCTTTCAAAAATAACAATTATTTTCTACTATACAAAATATTTCTCTTTTAAACATAAGTACTATAGATCAATTTTCCCCTCCCTGAATTTAAGGCTTTATCATCTGTCAATGATATGATGTATACATATAGTCATGTATATGATGTATACATAACTATTATATTACATATAATACCGACATCATAACAGCACACACCTAGAATAGAGTCTTTCACAAAGCAAGCAATTAATAGCCTACTTGTTGAACACAAATAAAACAACTTATTGAATTACTTCTAACGTGTCCCTATAGTCTCGAACTCTTCTCTTTCTAGAAAAGAAAAACAGGTAGTCAACAGTCTACACCATGATGATTCCATGCACCAGAGATTTTACATAATTCACCATTTCCTACCATCGCCTCCAGGCTAGCTTCCCCACAATCTCTTCTTGAGCACCTTCCAATGCATACTCAAACCTAGCTCCAATATGTTCTCCACTCTAAACACGAAAAATCTTCTCAGAAAGTAAAAATGATAATGTCAACCCATTGCTTAAAACTTTCAATGTTTCCTTTTCAGCCTCAAAAAAAAGTTTCCTTATCAGCTACAAAGCCATATTTGATCTAGTCCCTACCTGACTCCTCAGAAATGACTCTCCCCTTTTTGTTCACTATACTCTAATACACACAGGCCTATTAACCTGTTTAAAATCACAGGGCTTTCACTCACATTTGGCCTATATATGTAATGTTCCTATTCCCTCTGCTAGGGACTTTGTTTTTCCTTCCCTCAAAATTTCTTAGTTAACATATATTCACCCTTCAGATCTCAACTCCAACATTACTTCTGTAGGGGTACAAAAAAATAATTTTCCTCCCACCTTCTAAGTTCTTCTAGCTGGGCTAATAATCAAATTACCATGAGACAGATTAGTAAGAGAATATGTCCAAAATGTATTATGGATTTACATGCAGGAATTCCATAAGAATGAGATTCAAACATACATTAGCAGTTGAGGCTTATATGCCATTTGTGACAGAGGAGGAGGAGGCAGGGGTCTGGGATTTCAAAGGGAAAGCCAGTAACTTACAGAGAGATGAGAAAGGGTGAACAAATTCTTGCTGGGCCACTCAGAAACAATAGGACACAGAGAGAAGTTCAACAAACAGGTTTACTAGATTTCTCCCTGTCTGCCAAATTTAGTTCATATTATGATACTAAAGTGATGATGTTCCTTTCCGTTAAGCAAGTTTTTCTATCTGAATTCCTTTAGGCAGGTAAAGGGAGAAGGTCAAAGGTTTCATTCTGAGTCTGTTCTTTCTTAAGAACCAGCTTAAAAATCAGTATCCCAAAAGGAGTATTTTGGGGTGGCGAAAATTTGGTCCCCCTCACTTCTTTGACACATGGTGCTAACTGGAGGCACCTGATATATACACTATGTCAACATGTACTTCCCTAGATAAAATTTATTATAGTATGTGATTTCTATCATTAGTAGGGGAAGCAGAGATTATATCTGATTCACAAAACACAATCTGGCACCTAATAGGCAGTAAAAAAATACTGAATAACTGAACATATTGAAACAGGGTACAGAGAGACAGAGAGACAGAGAGAGAGAGAGAGAGAGAGAGAGATCGATCCCCAGAAAACCCCTATAGCCCTTGGTTGGGGGATGGGGGAACAGACCATACGGGACTCTTGACAGGTATCTGTACCACACCTCCATGGGAGACAGGAAGGCGATTCCCCCTGCATCACTGAGTCACGTTTGCCTTGACTAAGGTGGCAGCCAAGTGTAAATGGTACAGGAAACTGGCAAATGGAGCTAACTGTGGGAGAAGCTGCACAGGCAGTCATGTAGGAAGCTCTGGGTCAGGATTTAAACTAAAAGCAGGAAAAAGGAGGCTGGTCTGCTATGGGAGAACCATGATGTAGCAAGTAGGCAGAGAGGGAGATGCTGATCTGCCGTGAGGGCTGACAGAGTGGGTAGCAGCCATGCTGGTCTGTAGTGAAAAAGGCAGTCTGAAAGAGGGAGAGGTTCAGCCATGCTGCCAGTAGTGAGACAGGAGCCATGCAGGTAGAGTGTGTGGAGGGGAAGGAGCCATGATGTAGCTGCTTAGTAGTTTGTAGTCAGAATTTGGCCATGCAGCCTGGTGTAGTAAGGAAAAGAACAGCATGCTAGTGCTGATTGTGCCCACAATAGGTGACTCAGAAGCCATCAATGACTCTGCCTTGAAAGACACTGACTCCTGAGACTCAGGACATACAGAAAGGCCACTCTCTCAGGACTTGTGCCTTTCCTGGACTTCACCAAGATCCAGTGTAACACAGAACATTCTTTCCTTAACTATTACATGGAGGCTGATGACAACATACCCAATATCCTGAAGGAGAGAGCTGCTGTGAGACTGTCTGCACAACCGGCTTAAGCACAGATAAGCATATGGGGAACTACTGGGCTTGACTTTGGCTTTTAGCCTCTTGGGGAGCAAGGGAAGTGCTGGGTCTCAGGGAAGAGCAGGTCTCTGAGCGTAAGTACTCTCAGCAACCCTAAGGCTGGAGTATTATAAATAAAAACATGTTTTTCCCAATACTAATTGTTGGGTCATAAAACAAGGCGCCATTTGAACAGGCTTCTGTCTGCTCGGCTACAATATGACAAACTAATATACTGTTATACTGTGAAGCATGTTATACATAATTATACATATTTCATTTTACGGAGTATTTCTCTTAGAACCTCTGTGGTTCCAACTTGGGATCCTGTAAGCTTTCTTCAAATCAAATTTGGAACATACTCAAATTAGAAGTTAAATAATTTCTACATCATTTTAAAATTAGTACTTCATACTAATTCATAAAAAATTATATAATTGGAACAACTTCCTATTAACCAAATAAATTTAGTCAAATTACTAAATTTTTAGCATGGGTGAAATATGGAGAAAACATATTTCAAAATTAATGCTACTGAGAAGTAACATATACAGAGCAATAATAAGACCCAGAACATTAAAAAAACTATCCAAAATAATTAATATGGTATATGCTATGCTAAGAGAATACCTACGCAAGGAACTTTAAATTTTTTATGAGGTAATAATACTCAAGCTACTTCAGCCAGAGATGCTTACTGCTATGAAATGATTTTTAAAATTCACCATTAGTACCAAAAAAGGCAGACATTAAGTCTACTAAACCAGTCATACCAAAGTTTATCATAGTGTGGTTTTTAGAAGGCTGAGGATCCCTAAGTTCCTTTCAGGAGGTTCACAAGGTGAAAACCATTTTCATAATATCAGTCATTTGCCATGTTTTCTTTTTTATTTATCCAAAAATATTTTTTAATAAAGATTTCACATGTGTTTAATGGAAAACAATAAAAATGTTATGTAAACAGCCCATTAAATAAATTTTTACCATTTGTTTCAGATATTTTTCTGTAAAATCTGTGCATATTCTCATGTTTTCAAAAGCAGATCTTGATATGAATTTGACTGATCAATTGATACTATAGGATAAGCTCTACAGGATTCAAATTCAAAGTCAGCAACATCTGATCAAGTAAGTCTCCACGTTAATATTTGAATTCCATGGCCTTGAGGTAGGAATCATCAAGTTTCCTCTGGTAGCTGAATTTCTATTGAGCACAAAAGTATTAAGATTTCCAACACAAGGTGTCTCCAAGACTGGCCTTGTATGAAGAGTGCTGGCCTCTGCTAGCCTCACGTCACTCTTGTTTAGTTTATTTACCAATGACTTCCTAGGTCCAATTCTATTTCATTACAATCTCCAGAAGTTTTCATTTTGGAGAGTTCAGACTCCAGATCTTTATTTCTGAGTTCCAAATGACTTCTTACTGAAGCAGTATGATACTGTGTTAACTGTTCTGAGTTTTCTTGAAATGTTCTTTGTGCCGGTACAAATAGATTGACTTCTTTTAATTTTACTATATCTTGTCTCATATTTGCCTTCTCCTGTGTTGATATTTGCACTGATGACTCAAAAGCCAAGTTAACTAAACTACTTCCCTCTTAACATATATCAAGTGAGTTATCACCAAGTGTACTAGTACTCATTGTGTTCTTTACTGCCAACCAGCTTCACTTAAAAATGTTCTTAATGAGCTTTCCAATTTGGGCTCAACATAATGGCTCCCGCAAAGAAGGGTGGTGAGAAGAAGGGCCATTCTGCCATCAGTGAGACAATAGCCAGGGAATACACTATCAACATTCACAAGCACATCCATGGAGTGGGTTTCAAGAACCATGCCCCTCAGGCACTCAAAGAGATCCAGAAATTCGCCATGACGGAGATGGAAACTCCAGATGTACACATTCATACCAGACTCAACAAAGCTGTTTGGGGCAAAGGAATAAAGAATGTCCCACACCGTTACCAGGTGCAGTTGTCCAGAAAACATAATGGGGATGAAGACTCACCAAACAAGCTCTATACATGAGTCACCTACATACCTGTGACCACTTTCAAAAATCTATGAGGACTGATTGTCGAATAAAATTATAACACTGATACAAAAAAAATTCTTAATTTTATTAAACCTTGACCCTTAAGATACCTTTTATTGTTCTGTGTGACAAAATAGGAAATCCATATCAAGTACTTCAGTTGCATTCAAAGTACTGGTTGCCCTTAGGAAAAGCACTTGAGCAATATATTTGCAAGCCAAATAAGCCACTTTACCATGAAACTTTAAAAAAAATGACTTCGGTTACTTCAACAACAAATGACAAACTATGATTATTCAGATTTGGTATTTGGCAGACATTTTCCTAAAAATGAATGAAGCAAGCCTATGACTCCAAGGAATATAACTGGAAATATATGTAGCCAAGAGTAAAATTCAAGCTTTCAAGAAAAGCCAAAATTTTGGAAAACTTGTATCCATCAACGTGAGCATGGAAGCTTTTCAATACTTAAAGACTCATCTCATAACATCTGTGGTGATGTAAACAAATGCGATTCTTTTTCTATCACATAATAAAATGTGCCAACATTCAGAAGACCTGCATCACTCAGTCAGCAGATATTTTCTGCCCAGGCAACAACTTTTCATATACCGGAGTATAAAATATTCAGTGATAAGGTTTCATTGTAACCAATCTTTAAAAAACTACTATTTGATGAGCTTTGAGATAGTATCAAAGAAAATTATCCACAATTTAATGCACAGGTTATAAAAATACTCCTTTCTTTACAGCTACATGACTGGATGAAGCCAGATTTTCTCACACATTTCATCCAAAATAAAAATATCACAACAGGTTGAATGCAGAGGCAGAAATGATAATCTAGCTTTCTTCTATAAGCCAGTCACTAAAAAAATTTGCAATAATGTAAAACAATGCCACTCTCCTCTAATATTAAACCTTTTTTGTTTTGGAAAACTATACTATTTCTCAAACAATGTATTATTTATGCTAAACCCATTACATGTTATTTTAAGTGAACTAATAAATGTTTTAAACTTCTCCATTTTAATTTTTGATATATTTAATATTGATAGATATAAACCACCTATGGAAAGCTCTCTGGCATGGACACTTTTTAGGCAAATGAAGAGAGCCCTGAGAGCATAAGCTTCAACACAGCTGATCTGTATTGTAGAAAATTACTCAAGGAATAAAGACAGAGTCTAATTTAACATATCCTCACTTGTATCTTCTCTCTTCAGTATACTTAGAAATATTAATTTTCATATAAAGATTTTAAGAGTATTTAGGAGGAATCACAATTCATAACAATTTGAATTAAATCAGTTCTTGACAACCTATTTATTCAATGTCTTGATGTCTTGATTACAAAAAAGGTGAACATTTAAACTAACATTTACTAAGAACAAAAGGAACACATGTAAGTAAAGCAGAGATTATTTTTAGAGGAAATTGAAGAACTAACACAGAAATAAACTAATAAAAACATCAGAATTGTAGAGCTGGAAGTCAGAAACAAACTACTAAAAACCATCAGAACTGTCACATGCAACATCACCTAGTCAAAATTTGTCCTTCTAGAGACGATAAAAGAGAGTTAAAAGCTAGTTAATATGTAGAATGAGGCCCTGGCCAGGTAGATCAGATGGGTTAGAGAATCATCTTGATACACCAAGACTGTGGGTTTAACCCCCATCACAGAACATAAAGGAAACAACCAAAGAAAGCATAAATAAGTGGAACAACAAATCGGTGTCTCTCTCTCTCCCCCACCACCACTTCCTCTCTCTAAAATCAATGTATGTACATGTGTATATATGTATGTGATTTTATATATATGCCTATAAACATATATATAAATAAAATGAGGAACAGAACCAAGTTCTGAGACTCTTTATACAGTTCATGTAACTTTTCAAGCTTTATGTGCCAGACACAGGAAGACACTGGAGGTACAGGAATAAACAAGACCAACCTAGACCTGATTTCTTGGAGACCAGCACCAAATGTCAAACAGTTGTAATGAGTGTTACAGAAGAAACATGTAGGATTGTATGGGAGCCTATAACAGGGTATAAACTGACCTGGTGGGACAGGCAAGAGGTCTCTACAACCAGAACCTCCTTATTATTGTCATCAATCAACATCCTCATCATTTCCTCCTTCGTTAAGGACTCTAACACCTAACTCACTAATTCACTATTCCTACCGTTCATTATTCTTAGTGATGTCAACATTCACTCAGCTAATTCACCCAAAATCATTGCTCCTCAGTCAGTTGACCTCCTGAACTGAAACAATATTTTCTCCATTTTTCTTCACCAGTCAAAATCTGCCATGATCATTACTAATAATTACACCATTTCCACAAATCTAGATTTCAAAAATCCCACGTTCTATCTGTCTTTGCAGTTGACTTACTCTACTGCGTCAATTCCAAAATCCTATGTCACAGAACTTTCCATTCCTGTTTTTCACTATCCACGTCCCAAATGAGATGTACTACAAGTATAAAATACATACCAAGAGTCCAAAGAGTTGGCACAAAAAAAAGAATGTAAAATATCTCACTAATAAACTATTTATGCTGATTACTTATTGAAATAATTATATTGTGAATGCACTGGTTTAAATAAATTGTTATTAAAATTAATTTCAACCTGTGTCTTCATACTTTTTTAATGTGACTATTAGAAAACGTTTGTATTACATATGTGGCTCACATATTTCTATTAGACAGAGCTATTCTATTCTGTGATGACTCCTAAATGTTACTCTCCAACTCTGACTCTTCCCTAAACTCCAGAATGACTATCTGGCCTATCTATTTGGTTGTCTAATCACTATCTCCTACTTAACATGTCAACAACAGTGTCCTTTATTTTTAAACTCTATTAGTATTTTTATTCAACCTAATATATCCAAAATATTATTTCAAATGTGATCAATACAAACAATTATCAATTAGATATTTTATATATTTTTTCATACCGAGCCTTGGAAATACAGTGTTTACAGTTTTTATTTACAGCACATCTGGAATCAAACACAAAATTTTCATTGGATATAACAAAACATTACTCTTGATATCCTCCCACCCACATATTAACCATCTACTGACATAACTTAAAAATTCTTAAACTAGGAGTTATCCTTAGATTCTTCTTTTCCTAATACCCAACTCCCAAAATATCCAACCTCTCCTCTCAATTCCTCAACCCACCACTAAAGTACAAGCAATTGTCATTTCCTATCTGGACTACAACAATACCCTCCATGCTGGTTGATTCTACTCTTTCTTTCCATGGTTTCTACTCAGTAGCCTGAATGATTCTTTTAAAACGTAAATCAAGTACTCTAACGATAACCACACTCAGAATAAAACATAACCTTTTTTCAAGGCCTTCAAGGCCCTACTAGAAAGACAGGAACTATCACATAGGGCCTTCTCAGGCCTCATTTTGAGATTGTGTTATTTGTGGAAATTCACTGCATGATTTTTAAACAGGAGAATGACATGATCAGATTTCTATTTTGAAAATACTACTGAAGCCACAGTGTGAATAATAGAAATGTGATCAGAGGGTAACACGTGGTGATGTAAAGACAACAGAAGCTATAGCAATTCTCTGTTTCATACTGCGGTGGTACAGTACAGACAGAATAGACAAATTTAAAAGATATTTCAGAAAAAGAATCAACAGGACTGTTACAATGAATTATAGTGGTTGGGGGTTTGTGGGAGGGTTGCAGAGGGAAACAATGGAGGAGTCAAAAATGATGGCCACGTTTCTATGAGAGAGTAGTAAATGAGATTAGGGAAAGGTGAAGTTCAGTTTCTAGCATCCTAAGTCTGCAGCACCTGTGATTCAAAACAAGCAGAGGTACTAAATAGGCAATTAGATGTATGGATCTCAACTTCAGTGAAGGAAAAATCACGCTTGTGGTATAAATAAAACAGCCTGAGGTGGTATTTGTAGACAGGAGCTCAGCAAAGCCACATTAATACTTAAGGTAAAGGAGAACATGGGGCCAGAAAATAAGAGGAAAAGTAGGAGAGAATATCATCACGAAAGCTAAGGGATTGATTAGCTTTTCAGAAAAAGGGGGAATTGTCAATTATGTGAAATGATGCTGAGAAGACAAGCAAAATGAGAACTAAAGAATGTTCAATGAATTTTGCAGTGTGAAGGTTACTAAGCATAATTTCAGTGGAACAGTGGAGATGACAGACAAAATAGAATAGCTTAAAGAGCAAATGTGAAGTGAAGGATGGAGGAAGGTACAGACAACAGTTTTCATAAAACTAAGCAATACAGGAGAAAGGTCTGTTACTGGGTGGGTATATGAAAGAAAAGAGATTTTAAGAGGAAGAGAAAATTTAATAGTTTATGGTTAGCAGAAGAATAAAGTGACATGAAAAATATAGTGGGCTTGCTAAACTATTTTGAGGCACCACTGTGAGTGATTTTTAAATGGCACTCATAAACCCTTTGCACTACACTGCCTTCTTAAAGTAAAAATTTGTTACTATATGTCTTAGGTTGCCAACATTGGAATTAAGTATCTTTTTCCATTTGATGTAGTATATACAAGTCTGGTGTTTAAGTGGAAGGTATTAATTCTCATGTCCCCAACAGAATGATTTCTAAAGAAGTACCACACTTACCTTTCCACAAAATGGTAAGTTTTCCAAACACAATTTTATCACAGCATGCATAAGTTACTAACAGGAATTAAATATAAAACATTTGGGATCATGATGGACAGAGAACTGACTTGGGGTGGTGAATACAAAATACAGTGTACAGATGAAGTGTTCTAGAATTGTGCACCTGAAACCTGTATAATTTTGTTAACGAGTGTCATTCCAATAAAGTCATTAAAAAAGAAAAAAATTAAAAATAAATAAAAGCATTCAGGAAATGAGTGACTTAAAGGGAAACTGAAGTTTTTCAATAATAAACTTTTTCATTAACATAGTATTTTTGTTCCCTTTAAGTTTCAA